ACAGCATAATCAAGTGTAATTTATTCCTGGGATGCAGGATTGGTCAGATATTCACAAACCAATTGACATGATACACTACATAAACAAAATAAAGGATAAAAACCATATGATCATATCAATAGATGCAGAAAAAGCATCTGACAAAACCTGCACCCATTTATGGTATGAAGTTTCAGCAAAATGGGAATAGAGGAAACACACCTCAACAAAATGAAGCCCATATGAGAGAAACTCACAGCTAACATCATACTCAGTGGGGGAAAAGCTAAAAGCATTTTCCTTACAATCAGGAAAAAGACAGGGATATCTGCTTTCACCACTCTTATTGAACATAGTACTGGAAGTCCTAGCCATAGCAATCATGGTAGAGGAAGAAATCAAAGGCATCCAAATTGGAAAAGGAGTAAAACTCATTTGCAGATGACATGATACTATATATAGAAAACTCTAAAGATTCCACAAGAAAGCTACTGAAACTGATAAATAAATTCAGCTAAGTAGCAGGATACAAAATAAATATTCAGAAATTGGTTGCATTTTTATACATCAATAATGAACTACCAGAAATGGAAACTAAGAAAACAATTCCATAAAAAAAAAATACTTAAGAATAAATCTAACCGAGGACATAAAAGACATGTACTTGGACAATTATACAACACTGAAGAAAAACACTAAAGAGCGTATAAATAAATTAAGGCATATAGCACGCTCATGGATAGAAAGAATCCACATTGTTAAAATGTCTATACTACCAAAAACGATCTACAGAGTCAACGCAATTCCTATCAAGGTATCAATGGCATATTTCACAGAACTAAACTACACCAAATATCCAAAAAATTATATTACACCACAAAAGACCCTGAAAAGCCATAGCAATTTTGAGAAAGTAATAAAAAGTTGGAGGTATCACACTACCTGATGTCAAACTATACTACACGGCCATAGTAATCAAAGCAGCATAGGACTGGCATACAACCAGGCATGTGGATCAATGGTATAGAATAGAGAGCCCAAAAATAAACTCAAGCCTTTATGGTCAATTAATATATGACAAAGGAGGCAAGAACATACAATGGGCTAAAGCTAGTCTGTTCAATAAATGTGTTGGGAAAACTGGATAGTTATATGCAAAAAATGAGTTAAACTAGGCCACTTTCTTGCACAATACACAAGAATAAACTCAAAATGGTTTTAAGACTTGAAACCATAAAACTAGAAGAAAACATAGGCAGTAAAATCTCTGACATTTCTCTTAGCAATATTCCGATGTATCTATTTGGGCAAGAGAAACAAGAGAAAAATAAATAATTGGGACTACATCAAACCAAAGTTTTTGCACAGCAGTGAAACCACCAACAAAATGAAAAGATAACGTACTGAATGAAAGAAGATATTCTCCAATTATACATCCTATAAGGAGTGAATATCCAAAATCTATAAAAACTCAGAAAACTGAACACCAAAAATACAAACAATCCAAATAAACAAATGGTCAGAGAACCTGAATATAGACACTTCTCCAAAGAAGACACATAGATGGCCAATACACATGTGAAAAGACATTCAATGTCACCAATCATTAGAGAAATGCAAATTAAACCCACAGTGAGATGCAGCTTACGCCTGTTGGAATGGCTCTCATTAATAAATCAACAAACAACACATGTTGAGTGAGGATGTGGCGAAAAGGGATGTTCACTGTTTGTGGGAATGCAGATTGATTGGCGCAGCCCCTGTGGAAAGCCGTATGGAGGGTCTTCAAAAGATGAAAAATGAAACTGCCTTATTCCTTCTGGATATATGTTTGAAGAAACCAAAAACACTAATTTGAAAAGATATGTGCACCCCCATGTTCACTGCAGAGTTATTTACAACAGCTAACATATGGGGGCAACGCAAGTGCCCATCAGTAGATGATTTGATAAAGATATAGTAAATACACACAATGGAATATTACTTGGCCATAAAAAGAATGGAATCTTACCATTGGCAACAGGACAGATGAACCTATTATGCTAAGTAAAATAAGTCAGACAGAGAAAGACAAATATCACATGATTTCACTTATATGCACATCTAACATAAACAAACAAAACAGAATCAGACTCATCTATACAGAAAACAAATTGATGGTTTCCAGAGTAGGAGTGTTGGGGGCTGGGTCAAAAAGGTGAAGGTAGTAAGAAGTACACATTGGTAGTTACAAAATAATCATGATTATGCCAAGTACAGCATAGGGAATATAGTCAATAACATTGTAATAACTACGGTGCCCGGTGAGTACTTGAAGCACTGGGGGCACCACTTTGTAAATTATAGGATTTGATTGTCTAACCACTATGCTGTACACCTAAAACTAATGTAAGATAATACTGAATGTCAACTGTAATTAAAAATAAAATGAATGAAAAAGAAAGCACATGATCTTGTTAACTGTCCTGTAACCCAGTTCCTGTCCTGCTTTTTCCCATCTCCATATAATCCTCCCTAAATTTCCTCCTTAATCTCACATGAATAAAAGAAGCTGGAAAACAGTTACTCCGGGGGGCATTTGAAATCTTGATCCCTGCCATGTGTCATTAGTTTGGCTCAAAGAAACTCTTGAAATATGTTGAAAAAATTGGATTTGATGAAAGTTTGTCTTTTCAAACTGATTTCAAAGAATCAGTTTGACTTTATTGATATATTTTTAAAATATTATTTTAATTTCTGCTTTTATTTTAATAAATGCATTCCTTCATACTTTGGGGTAATTTCGCTATTCTTTTTCCATCTATTAGTTTAATTTTGGAAAGTTATAAAAATAAATTAATTTTGGCTCTAAAATTTTCTTTTGTATTGATTGGTGCAGCTAATAAATTGAAGATACTGTTCTCTCACTCTCATTTCTAAGCAGTTTGGAGCTTCAGCTCTGAGTTATTTAGAACATTGACTCAAAGCAATTAGTGAATAAATTTTGTAGGGACTACTAACTTTATAGTTACTTTTTAGTTTTTGCCGTATTGAAATCAAAGATGTTTTAGGATTTATTGAATTTTTCTTTGTGACTTAAATCTTGGCTAATTTTTGTGAATACAGTGGGTTTTTTTTTTTGCTATTTATCGAATACAAATTTATTTCATTAAGTTTTTTGATTGTGTTATTTAGATGCTCTGTTTGGTCTGCCATTTTCTACATGCTGCGTGGCAGTCTCCCGCTGGGTGTGTGTTCATTTTCTCCTTATGGTTCTGTTGGTGTCTGATTGATGTATTTCCAAATACACTGTTACATGCATGTAGTTTTATAATTATTATACATTCTTGGTGGATTCTACCTTTTTGTCAATATTTAATATCCATCTTTGTCTTGTTTAATGACTTTCACCTGAAATTTTATTTCTTTTGATATTGTTATTATTACATACCTATGTTTTTGGTGAGCGTTATCTGGTATTTTTTTATTCCTTTATTCTTATTCTCTTTAGGTCCTTTTATTTTACTCGACCTATTATAAACAGGCCAGAGCTAGATTTTTTAAAGCCAATATTAGAATATCTATTTTTTAATAGAGAAATTTAATCTTTCATGATTATTAATCTTTGTTCTTATTCTTGCCATCTTATTTTATCTTCTCATTTTCTTTCTCCCTTCCTTTTCTTCTTCCTTTCTTCTTTCCTCTTCCTTCCTCCCTCCTTTCGTCCCTCCCTCCCTCCCTCCCTTTCTTCCTTCCTTCCTTCTCTTGCCTTTCCATTCTTTTGCTGAATTGCTGTAGTTTTCTTTGTCCATTTTTTTTCTCTAGTGGTTTAGAATGTATATATTCCATTTGTTTTTCTTTGTCAGTTGAATCCTGTCTGCTTTCTTCGACTTAGGAACTCCTCAGTATTTCTGGTTCACCAATAGCACCCTTTCATGTTTTTTCCCCTCCTAGTACTGTGATGTCCGCCACCGCCCCCCCGCCCCCGCCCGCCGCCCACTGCCCCTTAATCTTCTGTCATCAAGAACTTTAGAAAACGAAGGGAGACAGACATATGTGCCTGCTCTGCTATCTGGTCCTAATTGCCCTATGTAAGCGTGGCACAGGCTAAAGTGTTGTTAAATTGCAGCTGACAGTGGCCCTGTGTCCTCATAGCCTACAGTCTGAGGGAGGTGGTGATGCCAGACTGACATTTAAAGGCCCTGTCATTTTGATGTAACACATTTGAGCAATAATGATGCTTCAGCTTGGGTGTGAAGAAAGGATTCTATAGACCACAGTGAAGATGGGGCTCTCTGAAAGAGAATCCTTGGATCTTCTGGGAAGGAACCCCTGGTGATGATGGGGGACTCACTGCCTTTCCAGCACCAAAGCATGTGGGATACATGAGCTAGAATGACTTTAGAAATCATCTGGTCCAGGGTAGAGGAAATAGTTCTCATCTCCCAGCCCTGGACTAGGGGGGACCCAGGGAAGCGATCAGAACCAAGGGGGCGGCCCAGGGGCCGTCAGGAGCCAGATGAGGAAGGAGAAGCAGGGTGGGTGCAGCATGAACTTGCTGACTCCGGGGCAGGCATGAGGGTCCCCGCCTCCCCAGCTCTTCCTGAGGCCCCGGGCTGGCTTAACTGAGGAATAATGAAGCACACAGGGGCATAACCTCCCAACACAGCAAATGGCACCAACACTGGCACCTGTACTTGTTTGATGAGGAAACAGAGGCTCAGAGGAGTTAGCTGTCCTACTCAAGGTCACAGAGCAAGTGTGTTGCAGGCCTGGCTTTGAGCCCGCTCAGCTTTCAAACCAGGGTGCGTCCAGGATGGACTTTTGTTTTCAGGTGGTCACAGCAGCTGTGCCAGTGTCCGAGGCTGCTTGACAGAAGTTACATGTAACCACAAAACGACCGGCTTCCCGGCCAGGGGAGGAGACCCAGCGCCAGCTCTCTCCCTGCCCACTCTCCTGGAGAGCTCCCTCTCGTTCTACACCCGGAGTGCAGGGCCGCACCATGCAGGGGTGTCTGTGTGCACCTGTCCTCAGAGACCCACCTGAAGAGGAGCAGCACAGCTTGGGGGAAGGTCTGAAAGTTATTGTTGCGGTTGATCTCTGTAGTGTCATTCAGGGCAATTTTCCCAAACACCTAAAGAGGAAGAGGAAAGGGATTCATGAACCGTGGACAGCGAGGGTCCTAGTTCCCACCCATCATCCAATGGTTTCTTCGGGGGTCACAGCTGTGCCTGGGACAGGCTGGCTTATAAGCTGAGCAGAGTTCTGTGGTGCAACCTGGCAGGGCCTCAAGGGGGCAGGTACCTGCTGCCCTGTCCCCAATCCCCACACTAGACCAGTGGGAGGAGAAAGGTGCCCATGGCCCTCAGGAGATGTCCCTGTGGTCCAGCGGGAGCTGAGGCTGACAGCAGGTGGGCTCTGCTTCTGTGTGGGGACAGAAGGCTCAGTGGTCTTCTGGGGGGAGGGGCTGCACATTCTTAAGAATATTTTCTCTTAAAAAACTTTATTGAGGAATAATTAACAAATATATGTAAGTATGTATTTAAAGTGTACAGTGTGGTGATGATTTGATGTACATACACATTGTAGGATCATCATCAAGAGCAAAATAATTAACATCCTTCACTTCATGCAGTTAACTACTTTTTGGTGTGAGAACGTGATCTACTATTAGCAATTTCAAGTCTTATAATACTGTATTATTATTATTATTATTATTATTATTATTTAAGACTTTTATTCATTTATTTTTAGAGAGAGGGGAAGGGAGGAAGAAAGAGATGGAGAGAAACATTGATGTGTGAGAACATCAATCAGTTGCTTCTCACATGCTCCCAACCAGGGCCGGGCCTGCAACCCAGGCGTGTGCCGTGACCGGGAATCATACCAGTGACCCGGTTCACAGGCCAGCGCTCAATCCACTCAGCCACACCAGCCAGGGCCAATACTGTATTATTAACTATCATCACCATTAGATCCTCAGAATTCATTCTTGTAACCTTCTTTTCTTTGCCATTTCAGCTCCATATGTCCAAGCACTCACTCTTCCAAATTTAGTTCTTGGATTGTGGAGTGATGTGCAATAAGCAATGTGGAGCTTGGGCAAATTTAGTGCATCCTTGAAACCAGAGACCTCCTCACCCCCTCCCCAACTTTCAAAGCAATGCTTATCTTAGAAACTGCCAACTTCCCTTGAGCAATGGCAAGCTAGCTCTTTTCATCTCAGAGGGTTGGGCCTATGAACCGTGGGGTCTTTCGGCAATAAGCAAGCAGGGGAATCTTACTTAAGGAGCTGCCAAGGAAAAGCTCCTGGCTAGTGCGCAGTGTTGGTCTGGGGTGTTCTGCGGGAATCCTGAGGAGAGAGAAGCTGGAGAACTCTGGGTTTGGGGTAGGAGAAAGAGCAGCGGGCACCTATGATGAGGGGCGGCTGGAAGCGGCTGTGTGTTTGATGGGGAGAGCTTGTCTCTCTCCCTCCCTCCCTCTCCTGAATGACACTGCGTTGGGGGTAGTTCTCAGGTCTATCAAGCCTGGACAAAGGGACGGATACTGTCTGACACACCCTTCTTGCTGTTCCCTGAGAAGAGCCCATATGTCTTGAGGCCACCGCATAATTTCGGAGTGTTTTTCTGAGAGCAGACTCCAGGCCTGGGAGAATGGGGAGAGAAGTTCTCTGAGCTGTGTGTCTTGGCCATTCACCCTGCTACCTACAGAATACCATTTGGGGGGAAGTTCCAATTCCTATGATCTTTTTGGCCTCAGAAGGTGAAAGAGGAGGGAAAGGGATAGTCAGAAGCGGGGGGAAGTGAGAGGGAAGAGGGTGTCAGGGAGTATGGGGTTGGGAAAGCGGGAGACTGAGGAGTGGAGCACGGGGAGCCCCTCCTACCTGCATCCCGATCACGGCGTAGATGAAGAACAGCATCACTATCAGCAGGGCCACGTAGGGCAGGGCCTGGGAGGAAGCACAAGAGATTGCGTGAGGCGGGTGGGGACGGCTGGCAGGGCACGGCATCTGCAGCCCACGCTGCCGCCGGGCTGGGCGGGGGTGGAGGGGCGTTTCCTAGAGCCCCATGGAAGTTCCAGGCCCCTGGGGGAAGGCCTGCGTGATGGCACTGACCCCTCGTGCTACTTGGTTTTAATCACCTGAGAAGCAGCACAGTATTCAGAGAAGCAGGTCGTGGAGTAAAGAGAATAGTGTGATATTACTTAGTAAAAACAATAAAAAATGAGCAAAACATCCTCTGACAAGACACACATCTTTGTACAGCAAGGAGAGAGCTGTGGAGGACACACACCAAGGCTTCCTGGGGAGGCACCGGGGCAGGCAGGTCACGTCCTCCCTTTGCGTAGCTTTCTGTTCCACTAGTTTTACGAAAGACATCTACTAGGGAAAACTTAAGTAAAAGATAGATCATGGGCTCAAATCCTATTTCTGCCACTTTCTAGTGATGAGAGCTTGGGCATACTACTTAACCTCTCGGAAAAATGGGAAGGGTAACGATGACCTCTCAGGGCCTGTGTGGCGTTTAAATGACTTGAGGCTTACAAACGGCCTTGTGTGTTGCCTTGCAGGCAGTTAGGTTCCACACGTTTTGTTCACTCAAGAGATTATCTGCAGCTTAGACAACTGAATTTTCCAGAGCTCCTGCCACTTCTCCTGGGGAGAGGTCCATGGGCTCTGTGCTCGTGATGGGGCTCTGTGCTAGTGACGTTCAGGAGAGCCACACACGCCCACACGTGCCTGCCTAGGAACTGCCCAGCTAGGTGCCTGCACACCACTAGATGGCACTGCGAGACCACATGGACGCTCTGTCTCCTTGGCGCGCCAGCTCCGCAGGCAGGTGGGGCTCCTCACAGGCAGGGGGTCTGTTGCCCCTTCCTCGCCCAGGAAATGGTGGAGGGTGGCTGAGTATGTTGGGGGCCTACATGGCCACTCAGAGCTGTGGGACTCCAGGAGGGCACCCTCAGATGGGGCCAGCTCAGTGCTGCTCTCACCGAAATCCTCAGATTCCCATGGACTAAGCAACACTGGGGGGTGAGGCGGTGGGGAGGGAAAGCAGAGGTGGCAGGGAGGGGCCAGGACTCATCACGAAGTGAGGCCCTGTCATGGGCTTGATGAGGCCCCGGGCAGGAGGCTGTCTGCGGGGAGGTGCATGTGCCTAAGGCACCAAAACAAGCAGGTGCCTTACGGCAGTGCCTCTACCTCTGGCTGCAACTTCAGCAATAGCACAGTCGACCTGTTCCATGCCTGTCCCTGGGCCCAGACTGGCCAGGGTAGGGCACAAGGATGGGATTGTTCAGTGCTGGTGAGTCCCCTTGTCTTGGGAAGCCTGAGAACGATGCCTCCATGAGCAGGAGAAGCTGCCATCAGTGCCAGGCCAGTGACGAATTCAAGTGACCTGACAGAACTTTGCTTCTCATTAACTTCAAACCAACATAACGCTTCTCAGCGATGGCTGGGCAGAGTCACTAGCTTGCTTTTACAGTCGGAAAATGAAGGCTGAGTGAAGAGAATTAAGCCTAGTGTTGGGCAACCCTGTGCCCATTTGAGGGGACCATCGCTCATTGAGTGGCATGAAACCAGGATACGTCTGTAAGTCCATACAAACGGCAATGCTGCTGCAATGCCAGAATTGGGAGGGGCCGTGGGGTTCACGTTTTTCAAATTTGTTCCACCACAAAACCCCATTGTGCAATCAGTGCTTGCACAAAAATACATAAACGAGAGGAGAAAGCAGAGCCACTCAGCCTCGCACTGAGCTTCTGGCCTTCCCTACCTGACTTTGGGGAAATCTGGGGATCTGGAAGCACGCTTTCAAAAACCACAAACTGCATCCAACAGACTCATTTCAGAAACGAGGAAAACGAGGTGTGGACCTCCCATGTCCGCACCTCGTTTTCCTCCCCTGGCCTTGACTCCTAGAGGCTGCTTGTTCCTTGGCGGAGTCACCTCCCATCCAGGGAGTCCAGTGGAAGCTGGGGGGGTGAGAGGGCAGAGGTGGCTACCTGGAAGGACTTGATGAAGGTCCACAGCAGGGTCCGGATGCCCTCTCCACGGCTCAGCAGCTTGACCAGGCGCATGACCCGGAAGAGGCGGAAGAAGGTGATGGAGATGCGGGAATTCTCCTCTGCATTCTGGAATCCATTGGCAATAGGAGGCGGTAGTTAACACAGCAACAGAGGCAGGTGGGGCAAGAGCGGGGTGGGCCCTGCTCGAGCAACACAGCCCTTGGCTGGGACTTAGCCAGCTCAGGGCGGGGTTGGCTGCACTAGGTTCTCTCCCCCCGCCATAAATGGGAGGCAGCGCTCACCTTTTTCAGTGGACAACCCAACCCTGAGGTCTCTGCAGAGCCAAGTTGTGCCCAGGCCCCCGAACCCACATCCCTTTTCCTGTTTTCCTTTCTTTCTTAGTTGTTAAACAGCTGGTGCAACAACAGAAGATTCCAGGAGGAACTTCCATATGCCTGAAATCCAGGCTGGGAGCCAGCCCCTGAGGGTGTGCCCTGCCTTGGCTGTGCACTGAGAAAGCAGCCCGGCCTCCCTCCTGCCTGGCTTGGCTGAGGGTCCTGCATCCCAAGTGGGACCCGGTTCTCCGCAGGGTGGCTGCATAGGTTGTGGCCCCCATCCTGGACTTTGGGGTGATAGGACTGGGGGTCCTAGTGAGTGTGGTGGGCTGCCCACTGAAGGATCATGTGCACTGGCTGCTCAGGACTCACCACTTCTGTTGTGCCAACTCCTACTTTCCACAGCCCCCGCCTCAGGCGGCTTCGGGGAGTGGGGAGTGGGGTATTGCTTAGTACTGGGCGAGTGTCTGGTTTGCAGCCTTTGCCTTCACTGGGGCTCTGACGCTGTTCCCTTTCTCTTCCTCTCTGCCCTGGGGTCTCTAGGAGACACCCCTTCTCCAGGTTGCCTGAGGCCCAGAAGGAGGTGAAAAAGACAACTGGAGTGAGAGGACCAAGGGGTCCTGCTCAGGGCAGATCATCTCCTCGGGGGAGTCCTGGACGGGAGAGCAAGAGCAAGGGGAAGAAGGATGGAATCGAGGCCATAGCAAGCCGAGGTGGGACTATGGTGCTGGACCGCGGGGGGCCTGCAGGCTGAGAGGTCACCTCAGCATGCGGGACCTGGAGGGTCCTGGGGCTTGGGCACGTGCCTGGTCAGGGCTCAAGGCTCGGGGCTCAGGAAAGGCTTCTTTGTCACTGTCCACCTCCAGAACTGAGAAAAGCATGGACTGACCCTTCGACCCTCCTCCTGCCACATGGGCCAAAGACCTGGGGGTGGTCACCCCAGGCAGCTTGCTCCCCAGAGCTAGTGCAGCTCACCCAGCCCTGTCAGCATCGCACCAGGAGAGAACGGACCTTTGGGCTTCCTGTTACTGTTCCTGTCACTGCCTCCCTCTGGGTTGCTGCCGGGCCGGTGTTGGCCCTCCGCACTTCTCAATTCACATCTCTGGCTTGGTTTTTAGTCATTTTCAGGTTGGGGCCTCTCTGACACAACCCATCCCAAAAATCCCAGCAGCATGAGAGCCCCGAAGGGCTCCCACAGGCCCTTCGTCCGAACCCCGCTGACTGCCACTGACGTGGCCGGTTGCTCAAGAGGCCACTCATCTGACTCCTACTCAGGACGGGAGCCCCACGGGGTAGGTGGCAGAATTCAGAGGCCCCGCTCCTCCTGGGAGTGCTGCACAGAAACCAGCAGGCAGGGCCTCTCCAGACAGGGGAAGGGTCGCAATCTCTCTTCTACGTCCACACCAGACCTGTCTCTGATCCTCATGGGGCTCTTGTTCCCCTCAGGCAGGGCAGACTTGTGGGTGCTGGGGAAGGAAGGGCAGGCAGCCATCCTCATCTTCCCTGAGCTCTACCCTGCTGTGGATTTTGAAGTTTTTGATGCCCTTAATCTCTGCATTTCTATCACCTGTGTATCTACTTGACATTCTATTTTCTCTCCTTAAGAGAAGACTGCGTGCCCCTAGCGGAGTGTGCAGGGGAGGCTCAGTGCTCTATAACTCAGCTGTCAGTTCCACCATGTCAGGAAAGGAGAAGAGGAAGAAAGAACAAGCTTAAGCAGGGAACTTCAGCTGTGAGTATCAAGAGCTTGAGAAGCTGTGCCACAGGGGCTTCTGGATCTGATGAGTTAAAAAATAAAAATCAAGCTTCCAGGGTGAGTGCCACTCTGGGTTCAGAACCCTTCCTGGCTGCTGCAGTTTCCCACTGCTCTGGAGGGAGAATCAACACGTTTCCATTCGGGTAGGACAATTTCCTCTCATAAAACAAACGACAATGCAGTGAGGAAGCAGATCCCAGCGACCATCCCTGCGATGCGGGGAGGATCCCCAGGTCCAGCCTTCCCCGCCGCAGCCTTCCAACCAGCCCGGGGTGGGCCTGTCAGGAAACACAAGGACCCACCCAGTCTTGTCTCGTTTGCTGACGCGGGGCTCAGGGAATTATCTTGATCACTAAATGTGTGACAACAGCCTTTGGGAGGCCGCTCCGAGAAGACCTCAAGGTCACACCAAGCGGCATTGTTACCACTTGAGCTGAAGTAAATCAGAGACCCCTACATTAAGAGTGGTTCAATCAAACAATCAAGTTTTTCTGCTTGCAGCCTGCAGCAGAAAAGTGGGTATAGTCTAATTTTAATGAACTCAGGAATTTAGAAATATTCACAGGTAACATTTCTGGAGTGACTGGAAATTCAACCATACTCTCAGTAACAAATCCCAGCTTAAACCTTTTGCTGTGGCCTTCAACTCTGAGCACAAGGGAGGCCAGTCTACATAGACACTTGATGAAGGAAGAAGTCCCCATCTGCCTTGGCGCCTTCTGTTAGAGCACCACCCACTTGCCCCTGCAGGCCTTACCATGGCTCTCATAGGTGCCCTGTGTAAATTTCCCACTCAGGTTATGGTTAGAGTCTTAGCCAGTAGAGTCCCCAGGATGCTGAACAGGAAATTTCCCTTGGGTCCAGTTCTCTCCCAGTGGCTCATTAGATAGTTAAGATCACAGTGAATTATCACCCGAAGGAAAGCTCAGGGAAGGGAAGGAACACCATCATACAGACAGCACGTCATAGCTCACACGAGACCAGGCAGGGAAAATGCAAGACAGACGCGGTGGCCACATGCAACAGGAGCCAGTTTGGGCTCTCGAGACTCTTGAGAGTCAGGTGCGTAAGAGTGGGGGATGTTAGAGGAGGTCACAGAAGTTCAGAGCATGGTCTGGAGGGTTGGTCTTACCATAAAGGGAGGGCATTGGGAATGTTCAGCTGGCTTTAAAGAAAGGCAGATAGAGATAAGCTGTAATGAGTCTTCAAAGAAGATGTCGGTATTCTAGGTCTTGGCTAACACAGGAGCAACACAATGGCAGGAGAGGGCAAAAGGAAACAGTGACAGAAATACAAAACCATAGGCCAGGCAGGTTCTGCGCCCTGAGTGTGGGCTCTGCACAGCTGGGCTCACATCTGCCAAGGAACCATCTCTGGCCCCCAATTAAATAATTCACACCCATTATTCATGAGCTCTTCTGAACTTTGGGGGTGGAGGTACTTTTTGTTTTTAAAAGTCTGCCATGTGTTTTAAGATAACCTTTGAGGGCTTGCACTTAATATTCACTCTAGCTTTACCCCAGCATGGCCAGCTGAAGGAGCTCCCAGGCAATGACCCCTCAGGTTTGGAGGAAGCTGAGTTTTAATTCTCACTGAGGAGGTTCTAAAGGGGTAGCCCTCAACTCCCTCTGGAGCAGAGGTTAGTCCTCAAGTTGAAGGTCAGATGGGAAGCAGTCCTGCTTAGCTACTAGTCTTCAGAAGGTGTGGCCATAGCATGAAACCTGAGTGTGGGATGTTTTTTTAAATCTGAAAGCTCTGCACACAATTTAAGATATGATTGTTCTTGTGGGTTCGACTGCTGAGCTCATTTGGGCGCAGGCGCTGCTGAAAATGGCCACAGGTGAATGTGCCCACCCCCTCCCCAGGTCCGTGGGCCTGCATCCGGAAGGTGCCCCTATTCTTTGGGCCCCGGCACATAGAGCTAAGCCCCTGACTGATCCTGACCTTCTGAGCTGTTAACTCTTTCTAGAAGGTCATACTTTGCTTTTACCCTCCACTTTTAGATGGTTGCTCTTATGTTTCTGTTTTTAAGGTACAAAGAAATGCTGTAATGGGATTTTTGGAAGGACAGAAATGTGCACTAGACATTTGTTTGCAGACTTAAAATATTCCTTTGGCAAAAAATTTCTCAGCAAATTCCTTTTTTGGGGGGAAGGGTGGAGATACAGGGTGGGGCAAGGGAAGGAAAGGGAAGGGACGCTCTCCAGTCATTTACGGAACACAGCCCAGATCTCCATTCCTGTTTCTTGAGGAACACGAGCTGCCAGGTCACAGGCCCGGAGGATGGGCTCACTGGAATTTGACTAGCAGGCTGTGATGAAACATGGATGGACACACACACACACACACACACACACACACACACACGCGCGCGCGCGCGGAAGGTAACTTCAGGATAGCCAAGTGCCTGCGCTCCTGTGCTCATGGGCAAGGAGCTCTGTGGCTTCTGAGGCTTCAGGGAGGGAGTGTGCGGGCCAGAGAGAGGGCAAACTGCACTACACACTATGCCCAGGCATTAGGCCTGGTTCCACCCTGAGAGCTCCCAAAGCTCCCCCGCTTTACTGCGGACAACCCCGGGCAAATGCTTGAAGCTCTTCTGGGTCAATCCCATCCCAAACAGGACCCGACCAAAGTCAGTTAGAGAACTCACCTGAGTCACCTGGTCCAACCGAATTACCACCCTACCACTGAAAAATGTAAACTATTTGTTTTATTTTATTTTACCTCTTAAACAGTTAGGATCCTTCATTTGGGATTTTTAAATGTCTTTTTCTTGTTGATTTTTAGCCTTTTATAGCTCCTATTACAGATCTCATCTATTTAAGTCATATTTTAGTTAAGTCATATTTTAGTTCAAAATTTAGCTTTAGGTCTGTTCTAAGCACCTTAATCATATCTTATTATTTTAATAATATGTGTTAACTTAAGAATCCTCATGATACAGCTCTGTAACAGGGGACAGGAAGCAGTCAGGAGGAGCAGCAGTGAGTGGGAGGCCGGCGGCTCTGGGGTCCCCGTGCTGGGTCCCCAGCCCCGGTAATGACAGCGCTCCAGAGACTCTCACTGTGGGAGAATCAGGAGACTCGCAGGTTCAGTTTTTTCTCAGACTTCAAGCTATGTTTGCAGAGGGCACGTCAGCTTGCTAGGCAGTGTCAACCTCTCACACACGCCTGTCCTGTGTGAGGAGCTATCTTTACAAAATCCATGGTCTCAAAAATCACTAACTGCTTGTAATAGAATCAGAAAGCAAACGCAGAATGATTTCTGAGTGGAACCCTTAGGGAGACGCCTAGCACACAGCCCCTGCTCTCAAGAACCCACGGTTCACTGACACACTGCCAGTCGCCGGCGGACATTCCTACATGACCAGGTGTCATTGTTCTCATCTTTGGTCCCCTTGCCCAGCTGCGATGGAACCCCCCGGTGAGCTAGAAGGGGAGACTGCACCAGTTGGACTTGGGCACCTGCACTTTTATCCCAGAGACATGTTTGTGTTGTTGGCTACCCTCTGTGACTCCCTAGGACCTCTCGAAAAACCACCTGGCCTCAGCTACATTCAGAAGTAGTTGGCCTGGAGCACTTGTGTCATCCATCGCTGACCCTTTTCTAGATTTGCCACCAGTTGCTCCAAGTCAGCTGATAGTTTCTCCATCCACAGTATTCCTGGGGAAGGGGCATGGCAGGACTCCCTGAAGACTTATGCCCCCTGAGTCTGGAGACCCGACCTGCACTTCCCTTTCCTTGAAGCCAACAGAGCTGCCTACCGACCCCGAACATTCTGGCTGAGCTTTAACACTGTGCTGGATCCACTAATGGCGGGTGTGGAGTGAATTTTTGAGCAACCAATTCTTTCATCTTTGTTTTCTAATGATCAGGTAACTTTCAAGGGGTTAAAGATATTGGGTCAATTAACTTAATTTGTTCATGCAATTTGTGTCAATGAAAGAAGGTGATTACTCTGTATGTGAGACAGAGGTGGAACATTTTTAGGAAGAGTCCTGGCTAGTGTTTCCAGCTAACAGGCTCAGAGCAAATAGAAAGGAAAGGCCAATTAACTTACGGCAACATACTTATGTAGATTAACCTGGTTTGGTATAACTGTCAAGGATGATGGGAGTGGCACTGGGCAGCTGGTAAGAGACAGTTCTCTGAGTGAAGTTCAGGACCAAATTGGAAGTATCACCTCAGGGGATGAGTCTTGGCTTCTGGAATATACTCACTGTTCTTGTTGACTGGGGTGCTATCTTTAGACCACACATAGGGTGCTCAGGGAAACTCGGGGAATACAGGAGGCGGGAAGAGACAGGTTTCTCCTCGATGGAGGGATTTCCCAAGATGACGGACACGATGGTCAGTGGAATGTGTTTCCCAGTTGTTAACATTACCTTGACCCACTGGAAAACTAAAAGCTCTTAACCATATGAAAAGGGACTTCCCCTTTCCTTCTTTTTTTTTTTTTTCCTTTCACAGCCAGGAGGTGAAGATTACTGGGGATTTTAGGGGCTAGGGAGTAGATGCCTAGGCTGAAATATCCAACCAAGTTGTCTTCCAGAATGTTCTCTTGAGATCAGTTGCTTAGAGACCATTTTGAAGAGCTCATAAGCCTCTGCTGCACCCTCCTGGACACGCTGACTTTGAAAGGTGCAGGTTACCTCTGACCAGGGAAATCTGGCTCTTGGCTGAGTCAGGAACAGGACCCACAAATAGGCTGCCCAGTTCCAATGGCTGCTATTGAGGCAATGGCTGTAATATAATGGTTACTGAAATCCCTCATCCCTCTGAAATATGAGTCAAAAGCCTTGTCCTGGGAGCATGCAAGTCTTTTAGTGGCTACCCTGCTTTAGATCCTTGTTTTTCTTTGTTTAATCTTTTGCCTAAGACTTAGGGCGTGGGTGTGATATAAATTCTATTCCAAACCACCTGAAGGTCAGGTTCCAGCTGGCACTGCTTCCACCCCCACCCTGCCCAAAGCTCTGCTTCTCTGCTTGTGCTGTCTCTACTGTCATCTCAATGTGATCTGCAAGACAGGACGGCTGGCTCAGTTGTGAGAGCTCCATGGTGTGGTGGAAGGCTGAGGTGTTGGGGCTTTGTTGGTGAGACCCCAGTTAATCGGGGGTGGGAGGACAATGATCAGCCTGGTACACACAGAGAAAGCTGGGAATGGCAGGAGCCAGGGTCTTCTAGAAGACATGTGACACCACCTTCATGGCCTCTATCTCCTCTTTCAATCAGGAGAAAAGAACACCAAGGAACTAGCGTGGCCTACAGATGTAACAGGGTAGGGAGATGCTGCATCTTAAAGCTAACAGATATTGCAGCAGAGAAAGGCATTTTCAGCAGGCCAAAGCAAAATATTAAAATATTTAAACTGCAACCTTCGAAAGTTGAATTCAGAGCTTCTTTGCGAAGAGAGACACAAAGTTTAAATAAGCACAGGTCAACTGGGATATAGAGAAGTTGAGGGTGCGTGTCAATGGCTTTTAGATATAAGGGCAAATGAAGAAAAGATGGGCCGTTGGAAGTCATTCTTAAGCAGAATTACCATTTTGGTGTGGAATGAATGGAGACGTAAGTGGATCTGTGGAGGAGGAGGAGTAAGAGGAGGAAGACGGGGGATGAGAGGGACAAAAACACTGGACAGAAAAGGGCAGGGAACAAATGAAAAGAAGCCCAAAGACAGCAAGGTGGAGAGTGGAAAGAGCAGCGCCCCCACCCCACGTCCACCACGTGGAAAACCCCCTAGCTGGCATCTGTCTCTCCAAGGAAAAATTCTAGCCAGAAGCAGATGAGCCCTCTTGAATCATGCGGCTACATGAACCCAGATGAACTGCCCTTTCAGAGCGTCCCCTGAGGGGAGCGTGGCCTCAAGGGGGCTGGAGGAGCGGTATAGAGCACGCTCCTCCCGTCTCTGTGGGCTGCATTGCGGAGGGTGGAGTGGCCATCCGCCTGTAGTATTAGCTGCCTGGTGGCCAGCTCACGTGGCTGGAAGCAGCTTAAGCTGCAGGAGTCATTGTGTTGTTCACCTGCAGCCTGATGTCTCCCCAGGTGCTGTTACCTGCCAGATACTCACGCTAAACAAGACTGATGACCACGTCGCCAGGGTGGTTTTATTTTCCCTTGGGAAGAACAGTCGGTGTCAAACAAACAGAAAAACCCCATAAAGAA